ATTTTTTTTAAACATAAATAAAATAAAAAATGAATTAATACACACAGTGGTTTAAAATTGGATAATTGTTTCTGTAACAGTATGAATAAGTCATCACGCAAAGAATCAGCTATAGAATTGGAATTTATACATAAATGCTGTAATAAATCATTCAATATGCCAACTTCTTCTAAATTCAAGTTATCCATCTTTTCAAGCAGAATACGAAGATGATGACAGTGTGGTACTAAACATTGTCTATCTTCTTCTTCTGTTACCATTTTACAAAGAAATGCTAAAGCATTTCTAATTGTTTGGTCACTATCACCCATAAGGAATATGATTTTTTCTAGAATCTCACGTTGTTTAAACACATTTTCTTTATGACACTTAAATTGTAAACGCAACCAATCAACGGAGAAATCAATAAATACACGCTCATCTGTTTTTAATAAATTGCTTGATATATGCAATGCAGATGATTGAAACTCTTGCATGACCTATAACAAAATAGTTCAATTAATATATTTAAAGTTTTAACAGTTTTATATTATTTTATATTTTGTACTGTACAAACCTGTTTATAGTCATTATATAATAAACTTAATAAACTTGTCCTATAAAATCCAGATCGTATGTGTTGTTTAAATATAGTTTCAACAGTTTTCCTTTTCATCTCTGCTGTTGTTACTATAAGAAGCAGAAGAATGATGTCTAATGGTTTTGGCTCTTTAATATCTTTTATAACTGTTATAGATGCATTTACTACATTTTTTGAAAGAAGCATATTCATTTTTAAAGTATTTACTATATTCAATTGACTTTGATAACACTCTTCAGTTTTTTCTCCCACAAGGGGTTGTATGTCAGTATTGCGTAACACTCTTAATGTTTTTCCAAACATTTCTGTATTTGAACAATCTTCTAAAAGAAATTTTTAATAAAAATTATTAATAGTTAAAAGAAGTATTATAAATAATTGCATTTTTGTATTATGTCTCTGAAGAATTAAACATACTTTACAATAGCTGAAATTGCATTCACTTTAACATTTGTTTTTAGCAAATTTAATGTTTTCTCCTTATATTCATCCAAATATTCTTTCCTAAGGTTTAAATTACTCATACAATTTAATATTAAACCTATTAATTCAGAATTCTCTTCCAGGACTTTATTTAAAATTTCAGCAACAGTTTGGTGTTGTTTATCAGTTACAATATCAGGCAAAACCAAAATTAATTCACTTTGAAACCATGATGGACATGATTCCAAAAGTGGTTCTAAAGTACTAGTTAAAGTATCAGAATTTGTTACAACATCCAAGAAACGAAATTGTTGCAGTAATGGTAAAGTCCAAGGTACTGATTCAATGGAGTCACTAAAAAGAAATATATTTAAAGAAATTATAAAAAACAATTTTTAAGTATTATAAAAATTT